AAATTAGGTAGCTGGATTGGGAAGGACCTTGGAAAGTTGTCAGCAGTCTGAGAAGTTGGTATAGGGATGGATAAATCGATGACCTGACTTCGAATAAGGCAGCTTTCTCTGTTCCGTGCTCTATATGGTGTAACCAGGGTAAGGGGGAAACTCTGGACACAAACCACTTAACTTCAAGATTTCTCTGAACCAAGCCTTCTCATGATATTTCCAGTTATTATGAGCACATAAATATATTATTTCTTTGGCATGGATCCCCTTGTTTCTTTGTCCCTGGCACAAACTAGTTATGTGAAAGGGAAGACTGAAAACCGAAGATAAGTTTTATACACAGGAAAAGGCTGGGATTGGAATCTGTTATCACAGTCATTTAAGGGGGGGGAATCCATATATGTAATTAACTGGGTCATGCTGACCTCTCCTAGCATGATTTTGTTTAGAACAATCAGAAGGATGATCAACGTTCTCAGATAATGGGACCTTTGGACAACAATGTCAGAGGCAAGAGCCAACAGCCAAAGAACAGGCTGGCTAATTCAAACGAGTATGCAAAATTCAGGCCAGCCTCAATTCCAGCTGTTTTTCTTGAGCTTTGTTGCTCCCCTTGAGGGTCACAGTATTGCAATGACTGCTGAAGCCACACAGCTGGCAGAATTTCCTTGTTTGGTTTCAGACTCAGGGGTTAGCAACCTTTTTGGAGCAGCAAGCACATTTCGAATGGTAAGGAAGTGCTGCAGGGACCAGTCGCAAAATGGCTGCCATGGTGGTGTGGTATCACATGACATAACTGCTGGGGGGGGCATGCCATAACCCAGAATTAGAGAGAAAGAGAGAGAGTCATTGCTGCCTCTCCCCACCTCTCAACGGACAACCTGATGCTTACAGTGATTATTCAGGACTATGCTGGTCCTGATTATGAAGATCACCCAATATTGATTCCTCTCTGTCTCTTGTTTCTCTCTCACACACACAACAATGCAGTTACTGTCTAGTATTGACACTGGAAAAAAAGGCACAAGGTGGCCACACCATACTTATTTTCCCTTGCACACACAGCATGCTCATGTATGCCCTGCACATATACGAGACATGCATCTCTCTCTCATACATGCTCATACACTGCACTTACACCCAGCCACACATCTGTCCCCTCTCTCTCTGAACATTTGCATTGCTCCCTCTTTCTCACAGTCCACTCGCAGAGACCACCCACCCACAAATATACTTCCTTCTCCTTTATCTTTCTCACATGTACCACTGTCCTTTGCCCAAACGCATCTCCCCCTCTCTCACACAGACCACACATACATCTCTCCCCTTCTTACTGTCCAAGTGCATCTCTCTCCATCACACACACAGAGCGTATTTGAGCACCCCTCACAACCGCACACCAGGAGTGTATTGACCAGACCAGGAGCTGCTTATGATCCTTTCTTATCAGTATCAACGCTCTGTTAACTGGTGTACGGTGAAGGCAGATATGCACGATTTGTGACTCCCCAAGCTGAATGCCGTCCACCAGCCATGCATTGTGGCGCACCAAATGATTGCCTCATACAGGGAATAAAATTAGGAGGCTTATTTTTGGCTCAAAATGTCACCTTGCATGGCTGACGGGCTTTGTTTGTCTCGATGTCTCACAGAACCTGTGCAGGCCTAGGGCTGCAATTTGAAAAGGTTTGATCTCATTCAACAAATCTCTCCCTGCAGCCACCTCCGATTATTTGCACAGCTATCAATCTACCATTGCTAGATGAGATTTTAGTGGCATGGATGGAGCTTCAAAGGGAAACTGCTTCCAATTCAATCAGCTTCAATCAATCAATCTCCTTTATTGGCACATAAAAAGTCCATCGTATACATGGATCAGAACACGACACGGTTAACGAAACATAGTAGGAGATACTTTAGGATAAAACTGTCCAGAAATTGTGAGGTACGAAAATGGCTCTTAGGACCTATGGGGATGTAATTTCATAGCATCACTCAAAAATCTTGCCACATTTTCCACAACGTCATTACTACAATTGTTCAGCAGGTAAGACACCCTGGAATATTCAGTGCAATAAATCCTCTCCTTCAAAAAGGGGGCCAAATACTTATCTTATATTTTTGCATAATATGGGCAATAAATTAAAATGTGTGTGATGGATTTGACCTGTTTTGTGCCACAAGGGCAGTATCTTTCAGAGTATGGGATTTCCAAGAATCAAAAACTCTTGCAAAACTGCAGATGGTAAGACGTTAAAGCTTGCGAGGGAAAGAGCTCTGCGTAGGTGGCGATCATAAAGCTGGTGTAAATATGGAGTGTCCTGGCCAAACAAGGGTGGAATTCCCAATCCCAATGGGGAACAGGTTTTATTGGCTGCACTGCAAAGGGCTTGGAATTCAATCTCAAGGATTCTGCACTTGATTGTCCGGAATGCTTCCAACTGCGGGAACATAAGCAGCGACTCAAGTGATAGGCCACAGGTTCTGATTTTGCTCTCAATGCAAGCTAGCCATTTGGAGTGGTGGGGTTCTGCCAGCATGTGGAAAGTTAAAGAAGACTGATAGGACTTTAAATGTAGGCGGAGCCAGAATTTTACAGTGGTGAGCCATGCTTTGGTTTCCAGCAGCCCTTGACCAGTTTCCAGACACATGGCTGCATATGGCACACAATTTGGCAGCCTCAGGATTTTGTGCAGAAATTTGGATTGGATGCATTCTGACGATTGGTTAACTGCACCAATCCATAATGGGATGCGATATAGGAGTTTTGGGGCTACTTTGGCGTTAAAGACCTTTAGCGCAGCTGGGATGAACGGATTCCCTCTGTTAAAGAAGAAATGGGTGATAGCCAGAGTAAGAGGATCCTCTCCGTTAAGTGCGAGCTTACAATGATATTTTCAAGAAGTGTTATATTGGAAGTGGATGCCTAGGTATTTGAAGTTTTTAACCTGTTTCAACGGGTTTCCACTGATCTCTCACCTATGAGGATTCCAAGATCTTGAGAAAACAAGCACTTTAGAGTTTGCGAAGTTCAGTTCCAGTCTGTTGGCTTCCAATTCTTTATGAATGGCTGTCTGTACCGGGTCTTTGTCGGGATGTGTGTGTGTGTTCTTAACACATACTGCCAAAAGGGCAACTTCATGCCCAACAATTCCCAGGAAACAAAAAATGTCCATGGCATAATGAGCTACATTCACTTTGTTAACCTTCCTTTGGTAAGCACCTTCAAGAGGGTATTTTGTGTTAAGGTTTGGGCTTTTTCAAACAAGGTGCCAGATGCAATCCACTTTGCACCGTTTTGCAGCCAGAAACAATTTGTAGGAGCAGAAATGAGTTGTAATTGTAGCCTATCCTATATTGATCTTTCTAACTATGTTGTTCTCTCCCCTGACACACACTTCCCTGCTTTCTCTTTGCGTTTTAGTTTTAAGGACCTTTTCTTGCTGCTTCTCTTTTTGGCTTGGATTCATTCTATCGCTTTTTGGCCTTGAAAGACAGCCTTGAGAAGAAAACATATGATAGAGCGGCAAACCTGTTGCTTTGGAGCACAACTCCCTTCAGCCCCAGCTGTGGTCCAAAACACCCAGAGAATGCAAGGCTGGTCAAGGCTGCCCTCATGTATGGCATCCGCCCGATGTTGCAGGCGGCATCAACAGAGAAGCGATGGTCTTATTAGCACAAAAGACTATGAAGTTTTCAGATTAAACAGAGCATCACATTAGCCAGTGATTTAATTAACCGGAAGGAACAGCACGTACAATGTGGGATAATGAATGCTGTGAGCTTAAGCCTTCATCCTGATTTGTAAACCAAGGAGTAAACAAGTGATTTATTGGTGGGAAAGGTCCATATGCAGTTTAGCAGTAGAGATATGGCTTTGCATGTCCCAGGTTAAACCCATGGCACCTCCAGCTAGAGTTGGGAGAGTCCCCTTTTCTGAAACCCTGGAGAACCTCTGCCAGTCAGTGTAGACCATACTGAGCTACATACTGTAGGCCAATGGTCTGAGTCAGGATAAGGCAGCTTCCTATGATCTTACTGCTGCTTTCACCTGTCTCCTATGATCTATTCCCAAACTTGAGTCTCCAGCTTTTTTGGGACTACAGTTCCCATCATCCCTGACCACTGGTCCTGCTACCTAGGGGTGATGGGAATTGTAGTCCAACAATAGCTGGAGACCCTAGTTTGGGAAACCCTGATCTATACAATGCTAAGGAAACCCTGGTTTAAGACATACCAGCCCATCAGTAATACGGGATAGTCTTTGCATATACGACCACCACCCATACACATTTGCACTTCCACTTACTGCTCTTCTACAATTAAGAAAGGAAAAGGCACTTGTGGAGGTGAGATGCACACATTTCTTCAACATCTGAAGCTCTCACAGGCTTTTTTATGTTGCAGTGCAGAGTTTACATGTGCAACCTCTGCCCTGCTTTGTCACAAAGTGCGTGAGGGGGTTGGACATATTCAGTTTCTCAAAAATGCATTTTATGATGCTACTGATCAATTGCATGAATGGAGGATTGATGAATGGCTATACAGTGCTACTTCAGGTTAAGTACTTAATTCGTTCTGGAGGTCTGTTCTTAACCTGAAACTGTTCTTAACCTGAAGCACCACTTTAGCTAATAGGGCCTCCTGCTGCTGCTGCGCTGCTGCTGCACAATTTCTGTTCTCATCCTGAAGCAAAGTTCTTAACCCGAGGTACTATTTCTGGGTTAGCGGAGTCTGTAACCTGAAGCGTCTGTAACCTGAAGCGTATGTAACCCGAGGTACCACTGTAATACCATTCAAATGGGGACAGTTCAAAACTGTTTACTGCCACACATATGATGCTCACCTCAAATACAAGGCGGCACATGTATTCTTCCGCGGCTTGGATTTTAGGAACCTGGGAAGCTGCCGTACTGATTCAGACCATTGGGTCCATCTGTCTCAGTATTGTCTACTCTGACAGGCAGCCGCTCTCCAAGATTCCAGACTGAGGACTCCCAAGTTTTACCTAGAGATGCTGAGGATTGAACCTAGGACCTTCAGCATTCAAAGCAGATGTTCTACCACTGAGCTATGGGCCTTCTAATCTCAGCTGGCACACAATTCCGCACTAAACCCCTTCCCTCCTACCCATGAGCCTTCAATATCCTCCCCTGTCACTGACAGCGGAAGCCAATTATTTCTCTTTCGCTTTCCTCAGGGCCTGGCACTTGGCACTTGCCACTTCTATGGCAGTAAGCCAGATGCCAGCATGAGGCAGTATCTAAACCCAACCTGAAATTACCATATCTCGCATAGCTCTGAATCAGCTCAGGAACATTAGGCCACAATTCTAAGCAATCTGTCAAAGGAGTGAACATTATCAGTGCTTAACAGGGAACAATGGCACTACAAAAATGGCTGAAAATGGTTTAGAAATCATCTAAACAATTTTCCAGCACTTACTGCAATTGTGTTTTTCTGTGAAACTTCGCTTCCAGATATTACAAATTGCTTTTGAGTTATTTTAGATTGCAAAGATGTTCAGCATTTATTTTGCTCTGGCATTTATTTCCACACGTTCTGGGATCAAGAAGCCTTTTCCAACTCTACGATTCTATGAATTCTATGAATGTGTGAAGGCTGGCAGGCATGAGTGGAACACACAGGGACAAAGACATGGTGGGCAGAGAGATATGAATAACATAGTATTTTGCAGAAACCGAATTGCAGCGGAAGAGAAACGGCGCTGATTGCGTCAAACACAGGTCGGAATCAAAATTGCTGCTTTTTTACATTCCCTATGTATGGTTCAACATCTTTCTACCTTTATGGTATAATTGTCACATGTGCTGCAGTCTGCATCTTTCTTTCTCGGAGTTTGAACTATTAAGGCTGGAAAGAGATTTTCCCCAGATGCAAAAAATAAATAAATCACTTCCAAAATTTTTGTCACCGTACAGTTTTTATTCCTAGTGTTTACACAGAGGGGCCGGGGTGTGGAATCACCCTTGTGACATTATTTCTATTATTACAACAGCTTATATAATGATGCTCTAGGTTACTGTAGGTCCTAGGGTATTGGCAAGGCCCACACTTTGTTATATGAGCTAGGAAACCGAACCGGGGAGTAAACCTGGATGAAGTCCCAGCAGCACAGGCCGAAGGGCACACGATGTAACATTCTTAGAACAGCAGGGAAATGCTGACAGATTGATCTTCACCTGGCTGCAGAAAGCAGCTACAAGGTGTGCGCCCGCTCCCAGTGCCCCGTCTTCTTTTAGATATTGCTGAGCAAGCAATTTCCAAGCACTGTCCGTATGCAAAGCATCTCCCTCCCTCCCTCCCCGACAAAGCTCTGCAAAACTCTCTAGCACTATGACCGGAGTAGAAGAGATGTCAGATGTATCTTCCATGCTGAGGCTGCAGCAAGATGCAAATGGCGCCAGTTCCACCATGTTTAAACACGGAGCTGCCCAAATCATGGACAGCGGGAGAGGAGAATGTCTGCCAACCTAAGGGCCGCATTTCTTTGTGGGGCATTTTCTGGAGGCCACATGCCAATGGCCGGTGTGGCAAGAGGTGAAAAGCAGGTGGAGCAACAGATTTGATCTCCCCAACTTAAATCAGCGATTGGCTTGGGACATATGTCATGGTTTCCCTCAAATAATTTATGGAATTGTGGTTTGGTGATGGTGTTGGGAATTCTCTGCCAGAGATACACACACATACAGAGAGAGAGAGAGAGAGATCGAGAGAGAGAGAGAGAGAGAGATCAGTGAACTATAGTTCCCAGGGGTTCCTGGTGAAAGCAAATAAAATCTGGAGAGTAAATATGCTCTTAGCCACCATCTGGATACCTATACTTATAGTCCAGGTATGGCAAACAACTCCCATCAGTCCCAGACATTGGGATCAATAATCGGGGGTGATGGGAGCCGTGGTTCAACAACATCTGGAGGGTCACAGGTTGTCCAACCGTGGTCTAGTCACTCGTCCTGTAAACTACCTCCAAAGCACTTGACACTCTCCTTACAATGTGCAAAGGGAACTAGTATAAAAACAAAACAGGGATGATCTTAATGTCAGGAATCTCAGTTATACCATTTTGAAATTTTTTTACAACCACCTCCTTTTGGCCTGTAGCTTGTGGGGATTTTATTATATATACAATTTAAAAAACAAAACAGAATCATAGAATTGTAGAGTTGGAAGGGACCCTGAGGATAAGTTAGTTCAACCCCCTGCAATGCAGGAATCTCAACTAAAACATCCATGGCAGATGGCCATCCAACTTCTACCTTAAAAACCACCAAGGAAAGAGGAGTTTGTCCACTGTCAAACAGCTCTTACTGTCAGTAAGTTCTTCCTGATGTTTAGTCAGAATCTCCTTTCTTGTGTTGCTTCAGGTCCTACCCTCCAGAGCAGGGGAGGAAAAAAAGCTTGCTGCATCTTCCATGTGACAGCCCTATAGATATTTGACAGCCCTATAGATATTTGAAGATGGATATGCTGAACTGGACGTTCCATTTTTAGTTCTAATTCTATTTTTTTAAAAAATGAGTTTATAGAAAACACCAGTTACCATGCAAATGATTTTCAGCTGATTCCCAGGCTGTTTTCACAAGGCTGCCTCCAAACAGTACTGCTTAGTCACACAACGTAAAGGCACCAGAATCCTGTGTTATGCTTATACTTCATAAATAACGAGATATGCATGTTGGAAGCAAAACTGTGAGGATTTATGAAAGAAATTCGCTCCAGCTGGCCTGTTTCCTCTTCCTTTCCCTTGCCAGTTTCCAAGCATCTAGCTTTCAGCTCATAAAACCGTAATTGGCAAAATCCCACTTGAGGGAAGGAAAGGAACAAACAGCGCCTCACATTCGCTTTCTGCGAGGTCCGTCTCTGAATGAGGTTGTTAGGATGCCGCAGAAGTTGATTCCCCAAACCCGGGAAATGCGTTTACTTATTAACATTTCCCTGCACCTTATAAATTAAGCTCAGAGAGGCCAGAAGTAGTTAACAGCCCCTTCATAACACGGCGCCCCTGTAAAATGGAAACACAGCTAAAGTATTACCAGTCTGTTTCCTCAGTCATAGGAACACAGGAAGTTGCCGTCTACCAAGTCAACTCAGTGCTGTCTACACGGACTGGCAGCAGCTCTCCAGGGTTTCAGACTATGCACATGCCTAGCCCTTAGGATGGAGATGACAAGGCTTGAACCCGGAACCTTCTGCATACAAAGCAGATGCTCTGTTGCTCAGCTTTTCTCGCTGAAAGCTCGCTTAAAAGGAAAAGAAGTCTTACGTGACTTCTGGAAAAAGCCATCCTAAACATGAGGAAGGCTTTCTGCCAAGTCTACGTGAATGCAGTCCAGGGGAATACAGCCAGAAAGTATTTTGAACAGCCTTCACAACACACTGAAGCTTATACTTTTGCCTCCTTGAAAAAGAAGTCAGAAAAAGAAGCGAAGTTGTTAGGGTTATTTGTCTACCCCCCTTTTTTTTGCACATACCGCACTCAAAGCGATTTGCAAATATGGTAGTGACGACATCACTACTATCAACACTCAACACCAATCAAGTCAACTGCAACATACTAATAATTCAGGCTGGGTGATAGATCGATATATTGTCCAAAACTGGGTTGAAGACCTGACCTGGAAATATATTGTGAATCATGATGTGTGTGTGGTATGTGTGTGTGTGCGCGTGCTAAGCAAGAATAACCATGTGGGGAAAACCGTGAAACCAGCCAATGCTTCTCTCGGTTCCTGCAGCCCCTGTTAACTCTGCCTGCACAGCTTTCTCCGCTGCCTCTCGCAGGGGGGCAGTGGCTCACAAGAGCAGGTGCAGGCAGAAATCATGGTGCAGGGAAAACCATGAAGCCAATGGGTCAACATAGCTCCATTCTTATTTCAGATACTGTGATATATCAATTTATTGTGATATTTAGCTGGTGATATATTGCGATGTTGAGAACCAGACATTGGCCAGCCCTACTAATAACTAATCAAAGGTAGCAAAAAACCACAAACTAGCCAATTTCAGTAATAATAATAAAAAAAGGTAATAGCCAGTTTCTACCTATTCATTTTACTGGAACAGGCAACAATATTGATAACAATATAATTAAATGACAAATCAACAGTCATTTATCAAAGCTATCAAAAAGAAGATGATGCAAGAAAACAGTGACAGAAAACATCCCTAGAGATCCATTTTAAGAATTATATTTTGCAAGCTGTTCATGATCACAGTGGCTAAATGCATTGTCTGTTTTTTCAAGGTATTACTGATTCTTCAGTGGCCAATTTTCAGGTACCGAACATTCCTCAGAGTTACCCATGGCATGTTGACTGTTGCAAAAGGGTTCATTAAATTGTGTTTTAGTCTGGAAAACAGCCAACAAAGTCACTGGACCCATACTTGGAAGAAGAGAATCAACTTATTGTAGTTTAAACAGCTGGGTGGTCTCAAAACCTTGCAATATAACCTGTGTAAAAAAACATCAGAACAGAAGATGGTATGGACTGTGAAATGCTATTCTTGAACAGTATGCATTTAAAAAAATAAAAATATTTAACCCTGCCCTTCCACCAAATATTATTCAGGGTGGATTACAAGACTCATAAAAACAGAGTAATAAAACCAACAGTAGAAACTCTGCCAGTAACTTAATCAGGAGCTAAAAGCCATTAGAACCACCAATTTTAATTATACAGAGCAGTCAGATAAGAAAAATTATGGCCCAGGTGTACAATAGTCAATCAACAAAACACAACAAGAAGTGATAATCACTGCTGCTAACCCTTCAAAGCCTGTGAGAAAAACGCAAAAAGAGATGGTGCCTGATGAGCAGACATTCTTAGGACGAGAGATCCATAATCAGGCCACAACCGCAGAGAATTCATAAAGCCCTAAACAACTTGAGCCCTTAAGGATTGCCTGGTTTCTTATGCTCCACCTCAGTCACTGGGATCTTCTGATGGGGCATTTCTGGTGGTTTCTCCTCACACTCCTGAGGTTCGGTCAGCCTTTGCTTGGCTCGTACACTAAGTGTGTTTGAGGCGATGGGGAAGTGGGCAACACCAAATACAA